CATGATCGATCATGCGGCGCTGGTCGAGCTTCATCTTCTTGATCGTATAGTATTTACTTGCGACAAATCTGTGCCGGCTGTCATCTATAAGGTAAGCGATAGTATGAGACTTCTTACATGTGTTTGTCACATGCTTATTACATAGCAAGCAGTATAAATGTCACTTGGTAAGACTAACAGAGAAAAAATTAAAGGTTTTTTGTGTGGTATGCTCAGTTACTTTTGGGAATTGCTTTATCAATTAGAGCATATGACTTGAGCTTTCACCTAAAGATTTCTTTGCTAACTCATTGACGACCACGCGTTTTAGTTTGGGACCACGTGCATTTTTTGCAAGATGCAGCTGTGACCCACGTCTGGAAATTAAGTCTCAGAAGAACAGTTTTTCGATTGGCTCTGATAACAATTACTGAGCTGTTGTTTGGCTACCCTAGACCATTCTAGGATAACCGTGCGCTTATCTGCAGATGGAACACTGGCCATGTCTTAAAAAAACAACTAGGAATATGAGCATACTGATAACATTCTTGCGAAGGAAGTTGCCGTGTACAAACTGCCATCTTCCGTAAAGGGTGCACTTCAAAAACGAGCTTCGGGGAGCGGAACATTCAACAAAATTGCTGCTCATGAGCTTCGCTCTTCTAAGCTAGGGTTGTGTAAGCATGATGTACATAGGGCACCGTTCAGAAATTGACATTTGAACGTCGGGGTCGGCGAACTGGATTTCATTACAATTAACACAATTGTGATGAAGAACAGTTTGGTGACCCGACTCGCAGTCATAGCTATCATTGCATTGCGCATGTAGGCCTATCTGAAAGCCCTATCCCCAACTATTGCTTGCATGCTTCAAAAAAAGTAAAAAATTCGCCGAGGAGTTCATTGTTGTGGTCCAGCGGCGTTCCACGCGGTTTCCACGTGACCCATAGTGTGTGGCTCGCCAGCTGGCCACACGATCGTCAATGGGTGAAAAGTAGCGGTTGCGAAGAGACGGAGACGAGTTGAACACGTCAGTGGTGGGAAGTTGTCAAGACATTCAACCTCTCCCCCTAGTGAAATTTCCAATGCCGTCTTACCAGTGAGGTGTCCAACGGCGAAGGATTTTCCCCGGCGCGGCGATGTGTGATTGTATTGCGTTCGACGAGCAGCTACCGTAACTAACACCAAATTCAAGCGAAACAATCCAATTCCAGCATTTTTATAGGTATCAACCTTTACTACCTTAACTGGTTTCAGGTGTCCGAGGAATCATTCGCTGAGTGTAAATATGATATATCAGCGGAGTGGGTCGGGGAATGCTCTCGAGGTTTGAAGTATGTGCCAGTGTCTTTACGAAATCTTGGTTTTGGGCCTACTCAGACAGTTTACTACCCAAACAAGACATACTTCTTCACATGTAAGTTTGTTACTTATAGAACACTTTTGTTAGGAGTCGATATTCAAAGATGTGCTTGTGTTAGCTGCAGGTCTTGAAGCTATTACTTGGATTTTGAAGCGTTCAGTCACGTCTGTGAAATTCAATTTTATCGCCATTTTTCTTTCAAATTGCAGCGTTTTCGTCTGGTACTAGATATGGCATCAGAGATAGAAAAGGTGGCCTCTGTGAGAAAGGAGTGCGACTCATTGTGAGTTGGTATCGATACATATTATAAATCACTAGCCGTTAAAAAAGCAGACAAATTTTTGAAGTAATTATGTTTTTTGCACTCCTTTTTCTTTTCTGAACTGTTCTGGGTTTATCTCGACCGAGTCGACCCATAGTCATTTCCTGGGTGTTTAACACTTTGACGACAGCGCGGGACACATACGTCCCGCACTTCACACGGAAGAGACTTGTTTTTCCTAAATTGTGCCTCCATTTTCATGCTTCAAGACTGGCCCTTCCTACTGTTGGATACGAAAAATAGTTCTCTCGTTACCACTAATGAAATTATTGGTAATGTAGTAACTGTTGATGCAAATTTGTAAAGTAAGGTGGGTAGGTCGCGCACAAGGGTGTCGTCACGTTAATTGACTCTCGCCACCTCTCTGGTACCAGTCTCTTCGTAATAACTTCGTATAGCATACATTATACCCCCCCCCCCCCCCCCCCCCCCCCCCCCCCCCCCCCCCCCCCCCCCCCCCCCCCCCCCCCCCCCCCCCCCCCACCCCCCCCTCATGTACCCTCTCACCATTCTTTCTTACACCTGTCATGAAAATTTCCGGGTGCAAAGCGTTCCTTTTGTTCAGCTGACTCTGTTTTTCAAGGCACTTACTCAACATGTATGTAAACATGCAAAATATTGTGTACGAGGCTCCAAAAGGATGTGTTACAGCTTGAAATTCGTGATTCTACTGTCCGTGTCCCTCTGAAACCACGTACTGACGCTGGATTGCATGAATTGCAGGTATTCAACTCTCCACAGGTCTTCACGTCTCTAGATCTAGCAGCTTTCATTAACATTGTCTCATAATAATTCAACTTTGGAGCTTAGTCCCGTACAACGTGTTCTTATGCGTATGCCTGAAAAAATTTCCAACAGAGCCCTCCATAAGAATCAGCTTCCCTAAAACCGAAGTATCCCTGCTAGAGATGATTTCGACTCCCCAATTCATATAGTGTCGAAATCGTTGCTCATAGCATTGCTGTGCTTTGTTCTAAGTGCCCACCCTTTCTTAACTACACATTTTCCTTGAACCGGGGGCTGCCGTGGGAGACTCTATTCGCGACAGATAGGTCTGACGCAAATATACACGGAAAATCGTGCACTAGGTATAAATATCATCTATGTTAAAATAGTCCATCTTCCGTTCCCAAATGCCCCAAGAGACGACTTCAAAATGGATCCCTTGACCCCGAATATTTCAAATTAGGTATTGTCGATTTCATTGTTTTATTAGAAACGAACAATGCTTAAGTGGTACGTATTCAGCCGCGAGCCATTGCTTTCAACGCTCCTTCGTTGCATTGGTTTTGTTTGTAATGATAGCGTGGTGAGATGAGAACGGACCGATATCAGACCAATCTTCGAAGTTTCAGGCTATTTCGTTTTTTTTTTCGAAATTTTTAGATTTCCATTACGGTGATACTCGGTGGAGTCGCTAGTACATGTACATTTGTAATTATAATATTTAACTTGTTTTTTTTTCACGACTGTTTTGACGGTGAGTTTTCTTCGTGACATTTCACGGTGACAGTACGAAGCGTATTCTGTTATTGTTGTCGTTATCTGTTTACGTTTTGTTGTTGGTTCTAAGATTGCTAGTTTGCTGTTATTCTGTAGTATTTGTAGAATCACAATCGCAAGAATCTTTAGTGAATCGAATCGCAGTAATTGTTTGGCCTTTTGCTGTTTTGTGTTTTTTGAACAAGAAGTTATGGTCTCTAGCTCTTTGTTTAGTTTTTATCTCCAAGCTAATTAATCACAGTAGGACGCACAAAGTGAAAATGAGGAAATCGCACAGAGCATATGCATATATAAATGAATCTGTTTGCTACACATCGAGAAGAAATGAACCCGTAATTATGCTAGACTGACAGCTGACTGCTGGTTTTTGGCTCGTGTCCAGCCGTTATCACTCGGATGCCTCTTGGAACAGCGCTACTGTATGGCGATTACGCGTTGTTTTCCGTTGAGGTATGGAATGCTGGGCACGATGTGGAATCGCTTAGATGAGGTAGAATAGGCACAGCGACAGAAGAATAGGCAACGCTGATGAGAATGCAGTCGTGGCTTGGTCATCTGAAATGATCCTTCGTCTTCTAAGAGTTTGTTTTCCATCGTAATCTCGGGAGAACTGACCGTCTAACTCATCGGAATCTTCACCATCTACATGAATTATGTACATAATAGGAGTGGATGCCTCTGCTGTGGCTTCTCTGCTAGAAAGAAATTTTAATCGATTGTTGCAGACAATATGGCATAGGTCCACTTACTGAGACGTTCGGGCAGCAAATTTTGGGTTCACTTTTTGTAGTGCGTTTTTGGGGAGCTCAACCTAAAAAAGAGGAGTTGGGTTTCAAGGGCCAAATAATGTTTTCGGTCAAATATATGTGCTTCGACTACAGCAAAGAAACCCGATGACCTACCTCAAATTTGACTTTCATTTGCCGATCCGTGCATAATCCATCCTTCCTACGATCTATGCCAGACAAAGTGCCATCCGATGTTGCTGAAGAAACGGAGTAATCACCATAATGTAGAATAGTTTAATACGAGAACACATAACAATAGAGTAGTTGTTTATAACTATAAGAATGCTTAAGAAAGCGCATTTCCCTGATGAGACCATTCAAAAAAGCGTGCGTGGTGATGCCGATGGTAAGAAATTTTTACGACAGGGGCGGACCACTCTGGCAGAAGAAACCGTATGTCTATTCAGTCTTTAAACAAAGCATAACAAGAGAAAATGGTGAAAACATGTGAACTGAGGCTCATATTTAAGAAAAAGGGGTCTATTCCAGGAAGGGGGAGGGGGAGGGGCACGTTGCAGTGCACAGCCCACTCTAATGCTATTTCGCTATGTTACAAACTGCTATCAGCTTTATTCCTACGTTGTTTCTTTTGGCTTTTTCATGTATGTATTTGTTAATGCGTTTTATAACAAAAACGTCTATGAAAGTAATATTTCGGTGCAATACAAGTGGGTGGGCACGCCGAGTTTTTCGAATACGGTAGAGAGCCAAAGTTATGTAGGTGGGAGCTGCTACCCGCTTCTATGACGTGACGAGATGCTATGAAGTAATTCACACATTCCAGCTTTTCACTCATGTCAAGTGACTGCCCTCCCCCACCTCCCCACGCCCTAGACTGGCTACACCTTCTCTGGTCTGCATCCCCTTAATTCTCGTGACACCATAGTAGCGAGCAGCAGTATGCACTCATCGCACCCACCGTGTTCGAAAATACGGTGTGCCCATCTCACTTGTGTTGCACCCAACAATTACCTAGTGAACAGCTAGGATTGAGTCTAGGAAGGGGAAGTCCTCCGAAGAAACGATGATTGCTCACGAAGTCGGAGATTTTCCCTCCCCTCTAAGGATTAGCCCTAAACCTTACACTTGGAGGATATACTACCTCGTGGTTTTGAACACCTTGGGCGCTCTAAACGGCATGCCTCTAACGGGATAAGAGCCAGAGCGTGAGGAGGACCGAGGTGTGAGTGAATCCCTTATGACCCATTATTAGTCATTCATTATCCTATTATTTGTTATCTAATTACCACATCAATTCAACATCATCGCTTATTTTGCCAACCGCCATTCCCTAGAATACCTTGGTTTTTCAACCTATAGCGCGCGGCACTTGCAAAGTACCCTCAAGAAGGCTAGGAGTAAAGAGGCAGGGTTTGTGTAGGGTCGGAGTCTCTGAAAAGAGAAATGCGCATCTCAAATCTTTCTTGGTCAACTTGACTCAGCAATACTTATTTTCACAGTCTTTGCGACTACAGAATTTGTTTAAAGGCAGCGACTACGATAGATTCGAAAATTGTAAATGAAGACGTGATGGTGCTCAATGGCACGCACTTGGCAAAAAAGCTGAGAAATCCGTCTAGAAAACGCAAAACGGGACCCCCTTTTCTGCCCGTTTCTTTTTCACTCATGAACAGGTAACAGCTCAGAAATCGGACGTATGAACGAGATTCACCGCAAGTCGCTGTTTGAT